CCCCCCCCGCCCCCCGCCCGCTGCCGGCGAGGGAGGGAGCAGACCTGCCGCCCGCTTGAGGTGAAGCAATTGAAGTGTGGGGCTGCCACTGGCATTTCCTGCCTGTAATTAAAGCTTTTAATGAGGAGGCATATGGTAACCCCCAACCCCCGCCGCCCCAGCTGCCAGGTGTGGGTTTATTAACGGCTGCTAATTACACTGTATTCGGCGTAGATGGAGGGCTGCGTCGCCCAGCCCCGAGCGCTCGGCTGTGAACGCTGCCAAAACCATCCTTGATTGCATTTATCCTGCTTCCCCTTGCGCTGGGAGCTGACTCCCCAGGCGTTTGCAGGGCGGTTTGGGGACACCCCCACCCCTGGGACACAGTGCTAGATCCTTCCCGCTCCACCCGACCCCCTCCTCCATGTGTGGGGGCTGCAAATCCGGCTGCGCATCCTCTCCGCAGCCAGTGAGTGCTTTTTATTCCCAGGGGTGAGTTTTGGTGGAAACCTGACGGTCCTTTCCCCATCCCCACGTGGGACGAGTTAATTTCTACCTGATTCCCTGTTGTTTCCTCCTCTGAACTCCAGCTTCCGCAGAGACCAGCGTTCACTCCACAGGTCTGGAGCTCCACATCCTCTGTGAGGATTCCAGGAGCGGCCACCGAGCCTCCCGGGTCTCCAGCCGCACATCAGAGCGACAGACAGGTGGAAGATCCGGGTTTTACCAGGCTGATCCCGCGTGGAGTCTTCCCAAGTCGGGGAAGAAAGAACTGCAAAGTGCCTTTTATGCTTTTCTCGCTTCTTTTTAATTGCAGTAACTTCTAAATTACTCACAGGTTTAATGTCTGTCAAACGTCCGTGCTAGCTGAAAGATGGCATTAGGAAAAGCAGGAATTACTATTGATATTTCATGGTATGTCTGTGCCAGAGGTTCAGAACTGCTGAGGCCAACAGAGAGGTGCACAGAGGCTGCCAGGGATTTGGAATCAAGATGGAATAAGCTTAAATAAGTAACTGCAAAGAACTGAAGCCTGTCAGCCTTGACACTGGCACAGGAAGATCTGATTAAACGTGACTAAACTGAAGTTTGTAATTCAGCAGAAAAAGGACAATGGACAACAAAAATAAAAGCAAACGAAAGCCCATGGAAAGCAACCAAAGCTGAAGTAGGACGCAGGGATGGAGTTGCTCATTTCCCCCCGTCGTTCTGTATCAGACTGGGGAGCAGCACGCTGTCCTGGCGTAAAGCCAACACCAGCCACCTCATCGCACGCACACGGAGTGGTGGGTAACCCCCAAATCTCAGACACGGGGGGGTGAAATTCAGTATTGATGCAAATGGATCTATTTCCCATCAGAACCTTGGCAACCGTATCACCGTCTCGCTCTTCTCTGGAATTCCCAGTTGGTGGTTTTTAAACACGGCGAACGGCACGAGAGGCTGCCGGTGCTGTACAGCTGTCAGGAAACCGGGACACAGTCCCCATGGCCTCGCTGCCAAAAACATCGACTGTTACCTGAACCTGGGTCAGGCTGGAAACACTCACACATTCTTACAGGCCTTAGGCTGGTTTTGTTTTAATTAATCCTTAACTTAAGCAAATGCTATGCCATGTTCAGTCATTGTTCCGAAGGGCAGGATAAGCTTCACAGTGAGCTTATCCAATACAAAATTCATTCCCAAACACCACTTTCAGGGTTATATCTCCCAGAAAAACAAAGCTTTTTTTCCTCTCCCTACTATCCTTCGGTGACGCTAAACAGGTACAAACAGAAGCAGTTCAACAGCTTTTAGTTTAGATCCTGGCAGGATTAGAGGAGTGCGGGATGAGGGGAGACTACTGAAAGGATACCTATCATTTTAAGCAAGCTGTCTAAATTATTTGTGTTGCTTTTTCAGCATTCCCATTACTGATAATGCTTCTTCATTTTGTTGCTTTTCTCTTCAACATCTTTCAGCACATCTTGCAGTTTCTTCGAGTTCTGTGTCAAGAACGCAAAGCTTTCTCTGAAGTTGCTGATTCCATGCTCCCTACAGATATTCTCAAGCCCATCAAACCATTGCAGTATCTTCTCAAGCTCGGCCTGCACAGCCTTCTGTTCCTCCAGTTCCGCCCGCAGCGCCTGCCCGGCAGACACCTCGGCCCTGTACTGCTGCTGCACCTGATGGATCTCATCCTGAAGCGCTTGGAACTGTTCTTTGCTGTAGGAGTACTGCTCATGGACCTTGTCCTCGGGAAGGAGCACGTTCTTAGGGATGGTTAACACCAGCTGCAGAAGCACTTCTTCCATTTTACTGAAGAGTTTGTCAAAGTGCTCCTTCATGAAGAGAAGAAATTTCTCCGTGCTTTTGCGGATTTGGGAGGGGCTGATTTTGCAGTCGGGAAACGTGTCCAGCTTCCTAAGGATGACACTCTCGACCACCAGCATCATTTCGAAGAGGTAGTCCTGGAACGCGATGTAGATGCGCAGCATGCACGTCTGGGGGGTGAAGCCAAAGAACTGCGCTTCGTAGGCCATGGGACTGACCGACATGGTGGCGGATGACAGCCGGTAAGGGCAGGACAGAGAACGCGCGGCCCGCGGGGAGACGGGCCTTGCTGTGAGCAGGAAGGCCGAGCCCGGAGCTGAGGGGAAGCTGGCCCAGCGCAGCCGCGCTCTCCCGTGCTGTTACCCGAGGTGCCGGGGCCGCTCCTCCCGCTCTAGTGCCACAGGCCGAGGCTGGTGGCCGAGGCTGC